TGCCACAGAATTTTAGTAATTAATTATGTCTGCCATGAGATAAAGAAAGTTGAAAATCACTGTTTTATATGTATGCCATAATATATTAAAAATCTCTACCTCTTAGTGTTTTAAATGCCAGTACCAAACACTAGATGCAAAAACAGGTCAGGCACTCTGAGAGATGCGAAAACAAACAAGATACAATCACTGCTCTCCATAAATTTACAGCTTAAACTGAAACTTTCTTAATCCCCACCTATATCTTCCTGACTTAGAATATGTTTCATTTGCTTAAAATTCGGAATTCCAAAAAATAGTCCTTTTGAATAAAGAGCTCCATTACTTTTTATTTCCTTTTTTTAAGAAAAAAACATTTTGTTTAAAAAAGAAGTGCTTTCTTTTTTAAAATTTTTTATTGATTGATTTTAGAGAAAGAGAAGGAGAGAGAAAAAGACAGATTTGTTGTTCCACTTACTACTGCATTCATTGGTTGATTCTTGTATGTGCCTTGACAGGGATCAATCTGAAACATTGGCATATCTAGATGATGTCTAAGCAACTGTTACCAGGCCAGGGGTGGGGGGGAAGAAGAAAAGAAAAGAAAAGAAAAGAAAAGAAAAGAAAAGAAAAAGAGAAGAGAAGAGAAGAGAAGAAAAAGAGAAGAGAAAAACCTTGATCAAGTTTCAAGTTAATAAAAAAGGTAAGTTTTCTCAAAATAGTTACATATTTCCCTTTGTGTTAGGACTGCAAAAAAATTTAAATGGAGGGAATTGAGAATTTATATTTTCAGAGATCTTCCTGGATTTCATTGTAGTTTTTCCCCATTAGCCTTCTTTAGCATTTTTCTTATAGGTAATGTATAGCAATATATAGATATTTATAATAATATAATTGTTCATTCTTTTCTATAAACTGTAGTATCACTTGATATTTGCTACTATTCAGAAAAAATGCTTCTATGCATATCCTCTCTAAAATAACAGCAAAGTATCTTCAAGATTCTATATTTAATGCCAGTCATTCCAAAATACTTAATTTAAAATCATTATCTATAGCATATTGGACTTTAAAAACATTCCACTTTCAAAACAAGATGGTTTAAGATAATTCAAAGAACCCACATGCAATGAATCCTGCTATGAGGTTTGCAGGGGAATATGAGCCAGAAGACATGTAGGTACAGTATTCTTTATTATAAACAATCAAAACAGTACAGCTGTGCATTTGAAGAATAGTTGAAACGTACATATTATAATTAAAAACATGACTTAAATAGAAGTAGTGTTTTTTGTTGTGTTTTACATTAATTTGAGCTCATCCTTAACATACGCCAGGATCACCTAATCTTGAATGCTGTTAAAATACAAAATTTGTAATGCATGTTATATTTTGCTGTAATTACTAAATATACATAACAAATATTCAGGGCCCATTAAAAATTAAGCAAGTGCTTAAAGTCTAGCAAGTGATTTTTATAAAATGCTTGTGTTTTTGTTATGGGGTATTCAGTTCCTTAGAAGACAACATAAAAGGAATTTAAATGTTACATTGTATTCCAACTTTTCCAGACTTATACGGGGTGTAAACAAAATAAAACATACAGTCAATGTGTTGAACAATGACATTGTTATAGTTCTAAAGCACAGGCAGATATTATTATTATTTTTTTAGTTATCTTCTTTATTATTACAACTGAAAATAAAGCACACTTATTTGGTATAGGACTTCAGTGTTTTTAAATGTGTCAAATTCTTCACTCTGCATGCTTTTATGGTTGCAATGTACCCCTCAATAAAACAAGTGAAGTAGACGTGACTTCTGGTAGTCTGACATTTTGAATCTAGCTTAATATATATTAAAATATCACCTAACACTTTTCACATCTCAATTTTTTAACAAGAAAAAAACACACCAAAAAACAAAACAAAACAAAATAGGCTTGAACAACAGGATAAACTTCTGTCTTGTGATATAGAGAATGTTATTATTCTTTATGTATAAACCTTTTCCATGGCAACGTTGAACATGCTTAGCATCAACTGATGCATTTACTGGCTTAGCATGTCCACTTTGCTACTTATCCTATAAAAGAATGCTATTACTTTTTTTGTATTGTCTACTTCAAGGAATGAATGCAATGAACACATTTGTAATCCTATATAATAAAAGCCTAATATGCTAAGTGTCCACTCAACTGGTTAGCTGCTCAACCAATCAAAGTGTAATATGCTAATGATATGCTAAGGCTGCTCAACCACTCGCTGTGATGTGCACTGACCACCAGGGGGTAGACGCTCCGACCGGTAGGTAAGCTTGCTGCTGGGGTCCAGCTGATTGGGACTGAGCTAAACAGGCCCCAATTGTGCACCAGTGGGGTCCCTCAGCCTGGCCTATGCCCTCTTGCAATCCGGGACCCCTCAGGGGATGTTGGAGAGCCGGTTTCAGCCCGATACCACAGGCCATGCCGAGTGACCCCACTAGTGCACAAATTTGTGCACTGCGCCTCTAATTCTAAAATAAAATACTACATTATAGCTTTTGGCAACTTCTCCAGCAAAAAAATTTTAAAGAATGATTAAAATGTGTCTATGTTCAATAACTGAAGTGTTCACTTCTCATCAATTCTAAATTCTCTGAATTTCACACATATCCTAAAAAAGGCTTTTAGGGAGACATTACTGATGATGATGTTTATGTACCATTTTAATTATTTATTTTCAACTAAATAATTCAGGTTCACTGGAATATTTTGTCTTAGTTTCCAAAAGTTGTATACAAATCCAAGTTTTTTAAATGTCATTTATAAATAATCAGTTCTAATTCTGTAAAGGTATAGGATTATCAGAGGATAATTTTTTAAATATATTTTTATTGATTTCATAGAGGAAGGAAGAGGGAGAGATAGAAACATCAATGATGAGAGAGAATCATTGATTGGTTGCCTCCTGTACATCACCTACTGGGGATTGAGTCTGCAACCAGGGCATGTGCCCTTGACTGGAATCAAACCTGGGACCATTCAGTCTGAAGGCTGACACTCTATCCACTGAGCCAAACTGGCTAGGGCTCAGAGGATAATTTTGATCAAGAAAGCTATGTTTGACAGAGAAACCAAGATGGCAGCATAGGTAAACACCTGAAATTTCTGCATCGCACAACCACTTCAAAAATACAACTAAACGACAAAATGGACATCATCCAGAACCACAGGAAGGCTGGCTGAGTGGAAATTCTACAACTAGAAGGAAAGAGAAAAGCACACTGAGACTCAGCCAAGGTGTGGAAGTAAAGTGCAGAGGTACAGAGGCGTACTTGGAAAGGGCTGGCAACTGAGGAGATGGTTGTCTTTTTCAATCGGGAGGGAATCACAAACTCCCAATGGCCCTGGACTCCAGTTCCAGGTGAGTCTCTGGGAACTCAGACTCATACGGGGAGAAACTGGACGGTCTGGCAGTGGGCAGAACTCGAGGGCAGCTTCCTTTCAGTGGTGCTTGCAGAGATTATCACAGGACACTGAGACCTGGGCCCTCTTAGGGCAGGACTGAGGATAAGCCATAGCTGTTTGCTCTGCCCTGGTGATTCCCTGAGACCCCACCCCACCTAAGCTGTAGCAGAGGCTTTTGCATATGTATGACCTGGCCCTTTGCAATCTACAATTACCTAACAAACTGCAGCTGGGTCAGAGAGACCCAGAACATCCAAA